AACTGTAGCGCCACCCTCAGGTCACCCACGTCACTACAACTGCTTAGACTGCGTGAACCTGAGGGAAAACGTGGACCAGTACTGTAGGTTCGTAGGAGCAGAAATGAGAGACCGACTAAAGAGAACAGACAACAGAGATTAGTTTCAACTATAATGAACTTTATATAATAAAGAAAGAAATAAAAATAATAATTGTCTTAATTTCTCTTTCCAGAGGAAAAAAAAACAACAATAAAGAAGAACAACTTCTTTTAAAGAAAAAACTTGGTTATCAATAAACCCTCTTAATGATAATAAAAAATGAAAACCAAATAAACAAAAGAATAAATTGTCTCTTTTTTTCCTTTCTTGAAAACCTCTTATTTAATCTTTTCTTTCTCTCTGACAAACTGGTTTATTTATTTCAATTTTATGGTTTTATATATATATTTTAGCTTATTTTAAGTACAACGTTTGACCTATTTTTATTTATAGCTAATTGACGTGTCCTAATTATATTACTTTATTCTATTAGAAGTAAACTACATGTAGTATCAGCTAATTTTATGTTAGTTTAAGCAAAATACTCAAATTTTCAACTCAGCTTGGAAAACAAAAGATAAATACCCCAAATGACAATGAATAAATCACAATTATGAAATAAAATAACAATTTGTCTTCACACTAATAAAGTGCAAATGAAAAACAATAATGAAACAATATAACTCTCAGAAAAAATGACAAAAGGTTCAGTGAAGGCTAATTCCAACAGTCTTTGTTGTAGACTTTATATATCAGTCTCTGAAATCACGAGGAAAAGTATTGTTTCGATTTCAATCCATAAATTGAGTCCTACCGTCCTGCTGCCCAGAACATACCACAGTACAGGTGGAAAGGAAGAAAGTGTGATGCCAGCTTACTCTGTCATCCAGCACAGTTCTGTCTTGAAGATGAAACATTAAACAACAGGTGCAATTGCTGCAATTTCACCGTGAATGTGTTCAATCGAGATCCGTTGGGTGGCCCGCCATCTCATTGCACGCGATGACAACCGCGATCCGTGTCCTCGCTGCATCCGCATCAATATCAAAGTAATATCGCAAGATCAACAAACAATCAGGTCCGATGAATCACTATCAATATCTTTCTAGACGTTCTGTCAAGTTTAAAAGACAGGATTTCACTCGTTTCTCGCTGGATTAGCTTTTTGATCTCAGCTTCCATGCGCTCGCTTCTCTTCCGTTTCTTCCTCTGACGTCACTGACGTTGTTTACGTCGTTCCGCTGCACGTATTTCCTTTCACCTGATAGGTCAGTGGTGAGCTCAAATTTAACCTCTTAAGGGCAAAGTAACAATATACATCTTCACAATTCACAAAATTCAGAAAATAAAACTAAATCATCAACAATAAACAAACAGGAAACAAAAAATACCTTGAGGCAATTTTAAGATTTAAACTTGAATTCTATTTATGAAGTACTTTTAAATTAATCTATTAATCGGGTTTTTAATTTATTAATTAAGCTAAATGTATATCAGTTTATATTGCATATATCTTTCTTTTATTTCTATTTGTAATACTATGGATTACAACCGCACTAGACGAGGATATAACTTAGGGCGCGAGTGGTGAGGATAATGTCCCGAACGCCACCCTCTCTATTCTGCTGCCCTAGACGCGGATATAACTGAGGGCGTGGGGAGTGAGGGTAGTGTCGCGTTTGCCCCCCTCTCTTTTCTGCCACCCTAGGCGGCCGCCTAGGTTGCGTCTATGGATACGCCGGCTCTGGGTGTCAGTCTATAAGTCAATCTTTTTTATATAAACTGTACATTCTGACCAAAATATCAAGCAAATATTTATTATGTAACTTTATGCATTTTACTTTTATTATCTTAATTTAAGATTTTAGTCATGTTATTGGGTGGGCATTAGAGGAATTACTGGCAGAAACTGTAGCGCTACACAAGTGACTAAAGGATATTGTATACAAAGATATTCTGTACTCACGTTTGCAGTTTCAAGTTGATATTTCAAATCCGTTAATCTAATTACATCTAATCAGTTAATCAATATTACAAGTACAAGTTTCTGTCCTTAAAAAAGCAAAAGTGGATTCAGACATGCCCTTAAAGAGCCCATATTATACATCAAATAGGGTCATATTTTAGTTGTAAGGGTCTCCAACAACAGTCTACTATGCATGCAAGGTCAAAAAAAACAAAACACTTTTATGGTCTTATAATCTGCATTTACCTTTACCTAATTATCCCAGCGACTACCATATGAATCGTTCAGTGATTCATTTGTTCCCAAACCCCTCCTTAGCGCGAAGCTAATCTGTGCTGATTGGACCGATGACAGTCTGTTGCGATTGGTCGACACTGATTGCCTTCAGCGAGAGACAGAGTGAATTGCCCAGCAGCTAATCAACAATATAAAAGTAGTCACAGTGCATACACGCTTCATAGTGTAAGGCATGGATTTTGGCTGCCAGTGGGTGAATGTAAATACAGACAATAGACTTGAAAATACAGACGACTAACTATTTTATTGAGCAAAAACTCCAAGAACTGGCGAGGAGATCTCCTAGCTTGTCACACTCTGCTCTTTTCACAGACACAATCACACATACGCACATATTGCCCATGTCCTCGCGCACACACACACACACACAACCATCCTCTGGACGACAGCGCACATGCACACACATACACACACACACACAACCCTCCTCCACAGAACGTAAACAAAGCGGCACGCGTCGCGTTTTTAACGTGGCTTTGCACGCGATATGACAATATAGCAAGTTATCCTGATACAGTACACGCAGTTACAAGTAACAAATCACAACTAAATACATTTTCATGCTAGAGTAAACGAGGCAACAAGAAACTGATCCATGTCCTGACATGTCCAGTACTCTTTACTGATCCTTCATTTAACAAACGAACGATGAAGTATTCTTTGTAGCATGTAGTTTCCAGAAGTTTCCAGTAGTTTCCAACTGCTCAAGTCTGGGTTATAATGCTGAGGTTTCATCTTTGGGTAGAGACTCAATAATATCCATCTGCAGTGTGACTTTAACCGACCGGCATGTTTGTGTGTGTGTGTGTGTGTGATTGTGTGTGTTCATTTCTGTGTTAGAGGGCGGGGCCGCAGGATTCAAATCTCCCGGTTTTGCGCGTGCGCGTGAATAACTTGGTTTCATTAGTATGTCATGGCAAAACAACTAATGACTCATAATCAAGACGACTCATTTGAAGCACTATGAGTCGACTCTTTTATAAATGAATCAACAGTTTTAAAGACTGTACACTTCCAGATTTAAGCCTTAGCTGGATATTTCACTTCACTTAGAGCTGTGTTACACACTACATGGAAGGGTATTTTCAAAAATCCACAATATGGGCTCTCTTTTGCACCATGCGCTGTAGACTCTGCGCCTAGAACATTAAAATAGCATTCTTAGAGTTAGATTTAAGCCACTTAAGTGTACAAATTGTAAAAAAAAAAATCCTTAATGATTGTAGCTTGGATGACACGGTGGCTCAGTAGTTAGCATTGCCACCTAACAGCAAGAATGTCACTGGTTTGAATCTCAGCTGGGCCAGTTGGCATTTCTGTGTGGAGTTTGCATGTTCTCCCCATGTTGTCGTGGGTTTGCTCTGGGTGCTCCGGTTTCCCCCACAGTCCAAAGACATGAGCTATAGGTGAATTAAACTGGATTGGTCATTGTGTGACTGAGTGTGTATGGATGTTTTCCAGAACTGGGTTGCAGCTGGAAGGGCATATGCTTTGTAAAACATATGTTGAATAAGTTGGTGGTTTATTCTGCCGTGGAGACCCCTGGTGAATAAAGGGACTAAGCCGAAAGAAAATTAATAAATTAATGAATGATTGTAGCTTACCAGATTGTACCAATGATCAAAGACCACAGATTTTAGTCTAGAATTGTAGGAATTGTTTAGGATTTTCAAAAATGTGTTTTCACACCTGCTTTATTTAGTTCGATTGAATTGCACTAGAGTTCCTTTCCCCTCTTGGTGTGGTTTGTTTGGGCAGGTGTGAATGCAGCAGTCGCACTTAAATGCTCACCAAAAGCAGACCAAAAAAGCGTACCGAGACTTCCGTAAAGAGGTGGTCTCGGAATGCTTTCAAACGAACCCTGGAGTGGTTTGTTTGTAGTGAGAAGATGATCTGAACTAAAACAGACCCAAAAAAGTACTGCACGTTTTTGAACTAATCCAGCTGTTTAGCTTAATTAATTCCCGCCTCTTCCTGAAGTGACTTGCAATGCACCTTCACAATTTCCAATGCATTAAAACATTGTTTACTAGCCGCAGCCGTGATTCATTTTCGAAATGTATAGTTTGTCTAAAGTGGTGTATATAAACTATATAGTAAATTATGACCAGGAATACAATCAGCCAGCGTAGCCCTCCCTCCATAGTAAAAAACAACATCTTGTGTCTGATGGTTTTATTCACGGAAGTTCCACTGGCATTTCACCGCTCGTTAATTCTGACTAATCGAAAAGCAGTTTAAGAAATGCAATCAATAACATCTGCCCAATGAGTGATGTGGATTTTATCACATGACTGTATTTTGGTTCTTTTCAACTGGTTCAGACCAAAGCAATCAGTGTATGCAGAAAATGAAAAGATAAAAAAAAATGCTACAATGTATCATTTGTTGCCCTTGATCTGGACCAAATCAACCGAACCACAGATGTGAAAGCACCCTCAGTCAATCAAATATTGACAGAAACTGCACAGTGTGAACCAGGCTATAATAACATAGACATTGATGCAAGGGATGTGTAGAATGCTAAAATTATTAAACAAATATACAAAAAAAGGATGCACATTTATTTTTCATAATGACAAACACAATCTACAGAGAAAACAACTTTTGAACAGACAGAGCTGATGGTAATAGAGTATGGGACATTTATTACAACACAAGAGGTTATCACATTATTTAGTTACCTAGAATGATATGTGTTTTTTTCTCAATACAGGTACAGATATGACTCCAAACTACTTGGACTCCGGTCATTCAAACTTCACCATCTCTCCCTGGTGTACCTGCAAAGGCAGCGGGAATCTGGAGGAGGAGTGTGAGAAATTTCTGCAGGACTTCAGAGAAAACACCTGTCTCCGTAAGCCTTTCTTCTTTTGTTATTAAAGCATTTCAGTTGTAAAAGTTTCAACTCGCAGCTTAGCTTGTAGAATTTGCATTCGATTCAGAATGTATCCTCAGGTTTGTGATAAACACTTGAAGATATGGCACGTAGGTTGTTTGGAAATGGTTTTCATCGCTACTGTTTAAACCTGAATGTTGCAGCTGCTGTGGCGGTATTTGAAAGCTGCCATATTTTGTGTTTGCGTTCCCTTCCAAACTCATCCCATGTGTGGAAGCTTTACCCACCTGCCGAATCATAAATGTCAGATTGTTTTGTAACTAATGTCATGCTTGTTAACAAAAAGTAAACATGTAGGTTGAGGCTAAATAAGGCTTCCATCCTGGTTTGTAATCATGCAGTTCTACATGACTCCTTTTTTGGCATGTACTGTAATAGAGATGTCGTGATAGTACAATTCAGTCATGGAAGTGGTTTTTAAAGTAAGACCAAAGTATATTTAGGTATTTTACATACAAATGGGTGTCATACACATACAAGTGTCATACAGTACATACGGGTATTGGACAATGAAACTAAAAAGCCTGGATTTAGACCACAGTAATTAATTAGTATAGTTCTTTTGTGGCCAGTACAGCATCAATTCGTCTTGGGGAGGACAGAAAGAAGTCCTGCACTGTGGCCAAAGGGATTTTGAGCCATTCTTCTTGCAGAATCATGGCTTTACATATGCTTCACTTTGGGCATGTAAGTGTCTGGGTGGTAAGCTTCTTTGGGGCTTTTCCACACTATAACTCTCTTGCATGTGAAGGTAAACTCATCAGAGAACAACACATCTTTCACATTGTCCAAAGCTCAAGATTTTCACTGCTGGGATCATTGAAACCAACGTTTGGCAATGGTACAAGTGACCAAAGGTTTGACTATAGCAACCTGGCCATGTTTTTTGACCCCGTGTGATAGACAGAACATTATTTGATATATGTTGAATTGGTTCCTTACAAGGAGTTTGGTAAAGAAAACTGTTTCATAGAAGAAATGTAGGTTAATTTACTCAGATTTTATTAAAGAGCTAAACTTTAATACCCGCTAGCCCTTCTTCTATCAATAGTTAAAATAGCATTATTAGAGTCACAATTATGAAGCAAAGAAAGGGAATTTAAGATGATAAAATACAAAATAAAAAACGGTTTCATATTTGAATTTTTGGCAGGACTTTCTTTCAGAGAATGAAATAAAAAACAGGATGGAAACTAAAACAAGATAATAAGCTAGAGCTTCAGGCATTTGCTCAGGAGACTTTTTATCTAATGTCCCACTGTGAGAGAGATTTTTTAAGTCAAAACAAGCATGGATACAGTATAATTTGCATGGATTGTATGTTAATAATGCCTCTGCTATCAAATCTAGTGAGCTGCTTTCAGAGACTACTTTTTTTAGGAACTGCAGGGATGTTTTCAACATGAGGGCTCTTCCAAAACTTGTAACCTTTTTACATTGTAAACTGGTCCATCAGAAACAACATTGTTTAAAAAAAGTTATGAATTATAATAAATAAAATCCATTAAATATGAATTTTTGGTTGGTATCACACATCAATTATGCTATACATGTTTCAATGTTATTTCTAAGTGAGATGAACACTTAGATGTATTAAATCAACAATTTCTGAATTAATTTTTCTTTGGGTTAGTCCCATTTTTATCAGGGGTCGCCACAGCGAAATAAACTGCCAACGATTCCAGCATGTTTTACATAGCAGACGCCCTTCCAGCTGCAACCAGTACGGGAAAACACCCATACTTTCACAATTATACACACACTCATACACTACAGTCAATTTAGTTAATCCAATTCACTTATAGTGCATGTCTTTTAACTGTGGGAGAAACCAGAGCACCCGGAGGAAACCCACGCCAACATGGGGAGAACATGCAAACTCCACACAAAAATGCCAACTGGTCTCAAACAACTGACCTTCTTGCTGTTACTGTGCCTTCACACCGAAAGCGACGAGAGCGTCAAAGTAGCTGTAAGTCAATTACTTTCAATGGGAGTCAGCGGCGATAAGTGACGAGAAGCAGCATGGCGCATCATTGTCTATGTGAGCATCAAGGAGAGTTAAAATCAAGTCAACTTGGTAATGAGCTATGACATGGTTCGGCAGCTAGCAGTCAGAATGTAAAAGTCCACCATTTGAGAGGAGCCCCAAGACCACAGCCCTGTGAACTTTGCTTCCGACCACGGTTGTTCCGAAGGGTTTGATTATTGTGGTAACTTCCAATTATTCACATTTTCTTACAGGGATATACATTAGTAATACACACACACACACACACACACACACACACACACATATATATATATATACATATATATATATATATATATATATATATATATATATACAGTTAAAGTCAGAATTATTAGCTCCCCTGAATTATTAACGCCCCTGTTTATTTTTTTCCCCAATTTCTGTTTAATGGAGGGAAGATTGTTTCAGCACATTTTTAAACGTAATAGTTTTAATAACTCATTTCTTATAATTGATTTATTTTATCTTTGGCATGATGACAGCACAAAATATTTTACTTAATATTTTTCAAGACACTTCTATACAGCTTAAAGTGACATTTAAAGGCTTAACTAGGTTAATTATGTTAACTAGGCAGGTTAGGGTAATTAGGCAAGTAATTCTATAACAATGGTTTGTTCTATAGATTAACGAAAGAAAAATTTGCTTAAAGGGGCTAATAATTTTGTCCCAAAAATGGTTTAAAAAAAAAAAAAACTGCTTTTATTCTAGCTGAAATAAAACAAATAAGACTTTCTCCAGAAGAAAAAATATTATCAGACATACTGTGAAAATTTCCTTGCGTAATTTGGGAAATATTTAAAAAAGTTGAAAAAAAAATCAAAAGGGGGCTAATAATTCTGACTTCAACTGTGTGTGTATATATATATATATATATATATATATATATATATATATATATATATATATATATATATATATATATATACACGTCCTTGAAATACAAGATCAATGAATTGAACTTTGATTCTCTTAATGCTTTCGATGTGAATGCACAGTAAGGCGACTGTGCTACTGAGCCAACATGCCACCCTCTTCTGTTCTTTTTCACACTCATTATTATTATAAAGCAGATTCATGATGAATGTGGCTTTATTTTTCAATGGTTTTGTACTATAGACAATAATAATAATAATATATATATATATATATATATATATATATATATATATATATATATATATATATAAATATATATTTATAAACTCAAAGCACTTAAAATTACATGATTAGAAAATATAGGTTCATATCATGTAAATATCTGCATGATACAACTTGTTCTCCATGAACAACTTGTTTTGTTGTAGTCAGATTAATTACAGCCATTTAGCTCATTTCTACATGTCCTGTGAAACATGGTTCAACAACAGATCTCCAAAGCCAAATCAAAAAAATTACTAAGTAGATTTTAGTGAGTACATTTTCTCTTTTAGGTGAACAATCCCTTCAACAATATCGGTTAGGTTTAGGGTATGGTTTGGCATGGGTAATGTATGCACTCTTAAGAATGTGTAATTCGGCTTAACATAAATAGGTAATCATATATTTCCAATCATCATAGGTTGTGTAAGACAATCCCATAATGTATCATAGTGTGTCCGGGAAAAAAAAAATCAAGATGGTGGTCAAAATGAATTATATAAATATGCATCATTACACAATGCAGTAATCAATATTTGTGACCTGCTGTTTGACGCTAGCAACATGTAAACATCAGATACTTTTGAAATAGCTGTGAGCTTGTTAGTGAAGTTGTTGCCTTTTAAGAGAGTTTTATATATTTATGTAGGCAGCAGCTCATGGAAGCAGTCTGTTTGTGTGTGTGTCTGTGTGTGTGTCTGTGTGTGTGTGTGTGTGTGTGTGTGTGTGTGTGTGTGTGTGTGTGTGTGTGTGTGTGTGTGTGTGTGTGTGTGTGTGTGTGTGTGTGTGTGTGTGTGTTTGTGGTGCAAAGATGTGTGTCCTTGTTTGTTTTTCTAGCAATTAGCTAATCCAAAATCTGCTAGCATTGCAGAATTAGCATTTAACTGAACTGCTGACCCCCAGATACAGCTAACTACTCCTCGCTCCTCACAATCTCGGGGAGGAAGACAAGTATTGCTTTTCTCCTTAAGGGATCAGTCGATTTAAAGTCTCTCTGACTTCCAACGGAAATGTTCTTTTATGAATGTATGCTTTGAAGCTAAAGTTGTTTTTCTTTTCTCATGTTACAGGAAATGCTATCCAGGCCTTTGGTTATGGGTCGTTACCCAAGCCTGATCCTCAGCCTACTACAGGCTCAGTCAAACCTGATCTTGAACCCACTGCCACTGTCGCAAAAACAACCATGGAACCCGGGGAGGATCCATGCATTATCTCTCCCTGTTCAAATTTAAATGTAAGTCAGATTTGATTTCGATTTATCTTTTAGCATTGCATAAATGCAGTGTACTCATTTATCTAGTCAGATAGACACTCTGTTATTGTTACAGGTTTAGGAATATTATGTACTTTTCAAAATCACAATAGGAATATGTAATATGCTTGTAAGAAAAAAAAGACATTATTATAAGTATATTTAAAGTTAGTTTTTTTTTTAATTATTAATAATAATGGAATAAGGGCACAGTTCACTGATGGTGAGTTTACATATGACCATTTTTTAACTAAAAACAGAGCTTTTTTATTTTTATTTATTTTTATTTTTTTTATCTATTCTGACCATTTATTTATATACCAATAGTGTCCATAGTCATGGAAATGCTAACTTAAAAAAAAAATCAACAGACTTTACTTTGTGAAAATAATCATGTTCTTAACTGATTTTAGGTGTTAATTGTTTAATCTATAGACAAACATGAATACATGATAATCAAAACAACAATGGAAGGCTACATGAGATTAGAAAAGGTGTATCTTGCTTGTTTACATATCCTGTAGATCAGTGGTCCTTAACCACCAGGATCTGCAACCCATTCGTCAACAAATCAGGTGAATCCACCATGGCTATACAAAAAGATCAACTGCTGGAGATTGCAAATGACGGCAGCCTTTTAGTTGCCATTCGCATTTCTCATCTTTTCTAGAGTTCACACAAGTTCATCATCGCAATGGAGGTGTGTGGCCTGCGTGCACAAGTGGCATGACATGCTCGAGCCTTCCAGACCCACCCAGTTAAAAGAAAGCCGCAAGCAAACTGCAAGTCACGTGACAAAAACTGACTGTTCAGCTTCAGCTTCTATTTAATTATACATTTCGGTAGACTATTTATCTTAAACAAGCACAGAGCAAACAAACACTGCAGTGCTTTATTTTCACCATATATTACACTTGTATCAGAGTGACAGCAATGTTTTGTCAGCTTGCCATCTTGAAAAAAAGGTTAATGGTTGCCTAGCAACCTACGAATCATGCCCCTGTGGTCCGCAGTACAATTGTCAAGTGTTGACCTGTCCGTGGTGATAAAAAGGTTGGGGACCACTGCTGTAGATGCAATGAAGACGACAAATACCTGCCCTCTAGTGGTGAAAATTACATTTGCCTTTTTACTCTGCCTTTAATACATTTTCACTAACACAATACTGGTGAACTAATACTTATTTTTATATGAATTCCTTCATCTTTAATTAATGCACAGGTATGATTAACTGAGGTGGAAAACTTGAAATTGGTATGGACAACTTTGACCTACTGTAGTAATTAACTCATTCATTTATAGGTATTAATACATGAATGATCTGTTTAACAGCTAGGGTTGGGCGATGTTGACCAACATAGCATCGAACAATGTCTGATGTGATTGGTTAAAAAGGTGCACAACCAACAGGAACCAACCAACAGTATCTGAGGATTTCGATAAAATTACTAAGTACAAGGGTGAAAGCGAGTGATTAAAGCAGAGTACTGATGTCAAATTACGTAATAGATTCAAAAGACTAAAGAGTCATTAGATAGAGAGATTAATAAAATATCAGATTTACCAGCTATAGTGAGGTGACGTGGTGGCGCAGTAGGTAGTGCTGTCTCTGGTTAGAGCCTTGGCTGGGTCAGTTAGCAATTCTGTGTGGAGTTTGCATGTTCTCCCCGTGTTAGTGTGGGTTTCCTCCGGGGGCTCTGGTTACAGTCAAAAGATATCCTGTGAATTGGGCAGGCGTAATTGTCCATAGTGTATGAGTGTGGATGAGTGTGTATGGATGTTTCCCAGAGATGGGTTGCAGCTGGAAGGGCATCCGCTGTGTAAAACAAGTGCTGGATAAGTTGGTGGTTCATTCCGCTGTGGCAACCCCAGATCAATAAAGGGACTAAGCCACAAATAAAATAAATGAATGAATGAAGAACAACTTTAGTGAGACGCGATCCAGCGGTGCATCCTTGATAAACTGTCTGACGTCCACTGCTCTTTGGAGTTTTGTGCTCAAAGCACCCACTGACTGCCTGGAGCTTAGACGTGAGCGTATGCTGCAGCGTATGCCTGTGTATGTGTATGTGTGTTTTCACGTGATGTGCATTTTCAGCTGTATAGTGTGGAAGAAGGGCTTTTCAGAAATGCTAGATAAAACGCCAATGTGGACGTGGATCGTTTTTGTTCTAAAATGCCATTTTAAAACTAAGATGTATCAGTGTAAACGGGACCTAAGGCCCATTCACACAGAGCGTCAGCTTCAACGCTTCAAATTCACTTTGAATTGGTGACATCAGGCATTGCCGAACTGCATTGTGAATCGGTCTGTGCAACTTCTGTGGCTTTGCTCACTGCAGAAGTTGGGACTTGCTCAACTTTTCAAGCGTCGACGGAAGCGTCAGCCAATCAAATTGCTGTTTGCAAATACAACAGCTCAGACAGTGGCTTATTGCTGACTAATTTCATTGGCTGACGCTGCTATGATGATCGCATCAGCCCCAACTTTAGACACGCCCTCTGTCAAGCATTGACGCTGAAGCCCTGTGTGAATGGGGCTTAAGTGTGTATTTTTCGGAAGCGAGTTGCTGCTTCGATGTGGTCGGGCAGAGGATTGCAATGGTTGCTCAGCATCATAATGTCTATCGACCAAACCCTATTAACAGCAATTCATATTTTACTATTAAACACATTTTATTACTTACTGGTTGATATATCATCAATGAATGGTTTAGTTCGTAATCAATCATACATCACTGTGCATTACTATTTATAATTAATGGATATTAGTGTAACCGTAGTGTAAAGTGCTACCACATAATCCAATAACTCCAATTAAGATGTAATTAATTGTGCATGAAACCCATATACTTTATTTTTTTCACAAGGGTAAAAGTAATACTAAATGAAGGTCTCTCAGTCACAGAAACAGAAGGTGATAGAAACAGCTGTGCGAATGAATTAAAACACTGAACGTGTTGCTTGGTAAATATTTAGATCTCGCCACTAACATAGCAGCATTTAACATCAATTAAACACTTTGTTGATTTATTTAGTAACACATGCTGTAGTGAAAAGATAACATGAGGGTATTTACACATAGGAATAGTGTATGCTAACAGCCTCTTTGCATTTTACTTAGCGTTGATTGGACTAGTTGACAAAAGTCAAGCTATGAACAACTGTAGAATAAACAAACAACAAGAAATAAATGAGTTGACATTTGTACCTTTGTTTGGTTAATTGTATGCAAATACACACACACATTGGAGTGCAGTTTTTCACCTGAGTGCAAAATACTCTCTAGAGACGTCGACGGGCACATAATTAACATATTAACAGCGGAAATGTTAAATGATTGAGTGTGCCCCTGAAAACAACACAAATATGATGAGACAGAAAAATGTGTCCTCACAATTTCCCAGAGGAGCCACAAAAGTGCATGTCACTGTGTACACAATTCATAATGTGTCTGTGTGTGTACGTGCTGGGCCAGTAGAGCAATGCTTAATTTATTGTAAAAATGATAATTAGTGCATTACCCAAGCAAGAAGTTTATAATTAGAGACTGCCTGAGGGGAAAACATTGTCAAACTTCACTATTCCCCCGCAATTCAGAAACGTGTCAGACACGCATCACAGATTCACCCTATTGCTGAAACTCCTTTTTTATTATTCTTCTGGTCCCACTCAAATGAAAGATGAATAGTTTGCCATGGGCCATTTTTCTCATTCTGACAGGTAGAGAGAAAATGGGCAAAGTCTCGCTCTGTTTACTGTGTTTTAATTCCAGGCAGGGTTTGGCATCACAGTGATTTTTGGAGGTGAAATTCAAAAGGAGTGCTTTGCTTTCTCTAGCAGGTCCAATAGCACTTAAAGTTTGCCTGAGGCAGGAATGATGTTCCCTCACAGAATCTACATGTAGCAGTGACACTTCTTGCTCATGGGCACAAATGAGGGATCTTTTCTATTCACCCAACACTATAAAATGTCTTCAGTGCTTCACTGGTGGGAGATATCAGATAGTCATATGTTTGATAGAATAGAATCCTTATACTTGTCAATTTTCTGAATTTGCTCACTTTACATATCTACTGTGTCTGTCTGACTGTCTGATACAATAATTCACCAACAATAATAGTATTATGCAGGAGGCAGAAATATATTAACTGGGAGACTGCAATGTATCTACATCTCTGCCTTCATTCTTTATGTAAAACAGTATCATACACTTTCAGAAATGAAGGAAGAGGAGCTGTCACAGGGGTAGTACCGATATATATTTGTAGCCAAAAACTCCACAATGGTACATCAAAGGTGCATATTAGTACCCAAAGGCACCTAAAAAGTACCTTTGAGGTACCATATGACCCCTTTAGGTACAAATATGTACACTGTAAAACCAAACAGTCAACTTTATCAAATGAAAAGAGTGTAGTAACTCAAAATCACCTGAAAGTTAGTCCTACTCATTTGAAAAGGGCTTTAAACTCAGTGTTGAAGGTAAGGAGTTAATTAAATACCTCATTACTTCAACTTAAATGGAATAAGTTTACAGTACTCATATAGATTAGATTTTTTTTTTTTATTCAAATGGTCTGTGGCGATTTCCTCAAATGGTTTAAGTTGCCTTAACTTAAGTTTTACAGTACTCATTTGGTTTGAGTTATCTTCATTTATTGGGTTTTACTGTGCGCAAACTGGTTTGGTTACTGAAATAGATTAAGTTCACTGTACTTATTAGGATTTGTTTTTGAACTGTTTTTTTTTTTTTTTTTTTTTTTTTTTTTTGCAATCGGTTTTCTTAAATGTTTTTTTGGTTTTCGGTTTCCTTAACTTTTTGGGTTTTACAGTGCAATTTTTGAAAAGGTACTGCCCCAGAGACAAATCCTTTATTTCTGAGAGTGTATTATACATTAAGGTGACTTTGTTCCCTTTCAACATAAAAAAAAAAATGCTATCACTTTATTTTTATGGCCCCTTTTGTACATTTTTCTTGA